CCTGTGTGTTAGCTAGGATGTCCTCGGCGAGGTCACAGAGGTATTTTTCCTGTAAAAGTTCAAGCTTTCTTTTGACAGTTACGCGCTCGGTCCCCCTGGAGTCGGCTTTCCGTCTCTGGGCGGAGAGCAGAGTGGTCGCCCCTCCCGCGTGGGTGCCCGTCTCCTCGTGCCCACGCCCGGGGCCTTCCTGTGTGCTCTCTGGGAGGGCTCAGGTGATGGCGTTGTCGGCTGCGGGAGCTGGGCTCGGGTTTGTGGCCGCTCAGCTGTGCCTGGCGCAGCAGCACCCATGGACAGTGTGTAGCTCGGGCGTGGGGCTGGATCCGGTCAAGCGCTCCTAGTGACTGTGGGCACTGAAATGTGAGTTCTGTCCAGCACTTGCGTTCACAGGATATTACCGTTTGAGCACTCGCCGGCCATCTGTAGACGTGATAGCCATTCCCAGCCCACGGGCTGTGCCAGGGTCGGCCTGTGCTCTGCCTGGAGCTGCTCCGTGAGGCCTGTGTCTGCCGTCTCAGCTCTGGGGGCTCCAGGACGTTCGGGGAAAGACACACTTGAAAGGTGACGCGCATTTCCACGACTGCTTGGAAGCACGTGCTGGTCCTTTCTATGTAAATGTTGTAGCCGGAGTCTGGATGCCAGCAAAACCCTCCTGGGTGTAGTCGGTGTGTTAGTGACTGAGACTGTCTCCATTTATTTAAGCCCTCTTTGTATTTTAAGATTTATTTGAAAGAGCACCAGAGAGGGAGGGACAAGAGAGAGAGAGAGCGAGAGCGAGAGCGAGCGAGCATGCCCGCGCTTCCATCCACTGGTTCACTCCCCAGATGATTGCAACAACCAGGGCTGGGCCAGGCTGAAGCCAGGAGCCGGCAGCTCCGTGCAGGTCTCCCACCCGCGTGGCAGGAGCACGAGAACTGGGCCGTCTCTGCGGCTGCCTGGATGCGTTAGCCGGGACTGGACTGGACGCTCCACGCGGGTGCTGGCGGGGACTGGACTGGACGCTCCACGCGGGTGCTGGCGGGGACTGGACTGGACGCTCCACGCGGGTGCTGGCGGGGACTGGACTCGACTCTGACGAAGGTGCTGGCGGGGACTGGACTGGACGCTCTACACGGGTGCTCACGGGGA